AATAATTTAAAACAGTTGTTAGCTTTTAAAATTTCATAAATGAAAAAGTAAAGTAAAAGTCCTCATGGTAGTTTCTCCAGATTTGGGGGGAAATTGAAATCACTTGTGTGTTATTAATCCATGCTTTTCAGGCCCATTGACAGTCGTGTGGGCGAGGTTCATTAGTGGAACGATCCTTTTGTGTTTGAAACCCTTGTGGTTCTTTTGGACTTGCATGATTCTGATCAGAAAGAAAGACTCCTTAATTTCTTAATTTCAATTAGTTTACTTACAAATGCAGAATAGATCTTCATTTAAGCAAATTGCAGCAAGTATTCTGTTAGATTGATTATCAGTATTGTTTTTGTTATGTTGTTTTTAAGTGACTTGACTTCCACTCTTAGCAAATCCACGTGACAGAGTAGAACTGCCCTATAGGGTTTCCTGGTCTGCAGTCTTTACAGAAGCCACCCATCAGGTCTTTCTCCTGTGAAGTTGTTGGGTGGCCTTAAATCACTAGTTAGCAGCCGAGCTCCTACCTGTTGGGTCACCAGGATTTTTCAGTCGATTTTATGGGCTGTAAATGGTCACTCTGATTCAGTTCTTTGCACTCTTGGAAATAAATTTTTTCAAAACTAAGGCGAAGGAACACTCAGTGATGGAAAGGTCCTCCTACCAAGAATCTAAAAATTTTGGTCTTCACAAGAACTGTCAGATTCTTCTCTTAATGTTTGTGGTATCACAATTGTACTAGGACAGTCTAGAATTTTGACCATGAGATAAAGCACTTTCAGACGTTTCAAATATTAATATAAATATGTGGTTATTTAGGTGATTAAAATAGATTTCTGTAGCTCATTTCACAGATTTAAGTCTTTCATCGTTGATATTTTGCTGTTTTTTAATCTTAATTTATTTTTTATTAAACAGATTTATTGGCATGTATTTCACACATCATACAATTCAAGCATTGATGCTATCAGTAGAATTACCAGGGGATAACCGAAATGTTCTCTAACATAAAATGATAATTATGTCTGTAAAGTGAATCAGAGACATACAAGGGGATACCTGAAAAAACACATTTTTTTCAGAGCTATGTATTTAAATTTTTTTACAAAACAACTTTATCACCTTCAAAGTACTCTCCATTACACTTAATACATTTGTCAAATCTGATTCCGTTATTGGAAACATTTTTCAAACTCATCTGTTTGGATGGCTGACAGCACCTCCCTTGTTTTTTTTCTTCACCTTTTCTATGTCATCAAATTGCTGTCCTTTCATGTCCCTCTTCATTCATGGAAACAAAAAGGAGCAAGGTCAGGTGAATGAGCTGTGTGGGTCAAGAGAGGCATGCTGTTTTTTGCCAAAATTGGTGCACTGAGATGCTTGACTGAGCAGGTGCATTGTTGTGGTGGCAAAACCAGTCCTCCATCTGCCAAAAATCAGGCCTTTTTTTGTGGCACACTGTGACACAATATTTTCAGAACCTCTAAATAGAAAGCTTAATTAACAGTATGACCTGGTGGAACAAACTCCATATACGCTATCCCTGTCACATCAAACAAACAAACACACAAGCGAGCATTGCCTTGATCTTTGATTTTACTTGACAAGCTTTTTTTGGGTAAGGTGACAATGGCATCTTCCACTGGCTTGATCGATGCTTGCTTTCAGGGTTGTAAGAATCGGACCATGTCTCATCACCAGTAATGACCTTGGAAAAAAGTCTGGGTTGCTTCGGAGCTGTTCTTTCAAAGCATGGCATGCTTTCACTCGAAGCTCTTTTTGCTGATCAGTCAGAACCGGAGGCACAAATTTCGCAGCTACCCTTCTCATTCTCAAATCTTTCATTAAAATCTACCGAACCGAGTTCCAAGATAGTCCACATAGCTTCCTTATCTCTTCAGTGGTTCATCATTGGTTCTCGAGCACAAGTGCACAAATTTTGAAGACATTTTCGTCTGTTTAGGAAGTTGACGGCCATTCAGAACGAGGTTTATTGTCAATCAACATTTCACCTTTTTTGAAATGAAGTCACTGTACACTTGAGTTTTTCCCATAGTACTGCCTTTGAATCCCGCAACAACGTCAATCTTTTCTCCATTTACCACGATGTTGTCTATTTGTCTAGTTTTGAGGATTTGGGTTTTCTTTACATTGAATTGCAGGTTTTTATTTCCATCAGCTAGAGCTTCTACTCCGTTTTGCTTTTTGTAAGGAAAGGTGTGCCATCTGCAAATCACAGGTTGCCTTCTTCAGATTCTGATACCTCGTATCGCTTCTTGTATTATTTGCTCAGCATACTAATTGAATAAGCATAGTGAAAGGACACAGCCCTGATTTTCAACCACACAGTATCCCCTTGTTCTATTCAAATGACTGTCTCTGGTCCATGTGCAGGTTCCTACATGAGCAAACTGAAGAACTGTTCTGGAATTCTCGTTCTTCTCAATGTTATCCATAGTTGGTTATAAACCACACAGTCAAATGCTTTTGCATAGTCAGTGAAACACAAACAAGCTTTGAAAACGGAAGTCTCGGGTGGAAGGATGAATTTGGGAGAAGGCTTGCTTGGATTTGTTCTGAATTAGTTAGGCTTGTTCCAAAGCTAGGCACATTTTCTCTGTACTTCACATGGAGATTCTTTAGCAGGGCGGTAGAGCTCCTTCTGGTCATTGAAGGGACACAGAGTTGCTAACTGACCAGGGATGGTGCTAAATGGAGATTTCACTAGTAAAATGGAGGTGTTGAATTTGATGAGATTCTTTCAATTGAGGGGAAATGTGTTAGGTTGATTTGTGTTCATTGAACACCTTTATAAGTTGAATTTTAGCTCTATATAAAAATATTAAAGGGTAAGCAACAACAAAATCTCCAAGGTTATCATCACACACTTCATTTGGCTTCTCTTCAAAATTATTATTGTTTTCTACTTCTCTCTTGTTTTCTTAAAGACTAATTAGGCCAAGTTTCTGTAAGTTTGACAACCCACTAGACGTTTTACCTCATCTGCTACACGTTTCATGCTTTGTGTGACTGTTCGAATAAACATTCTGTGTGAAAAATGCAGGGATAACACAATGTAGCCTCAGCTGCAACAAAAGTACATGTCCACATGGTCTTCATGGGTGGTACAGTAGTGAAGAGTTTGCAGTTTGCCGCAGTGCCTGCTACAGCACACCATGTGAGAGTCACTGGATGACAACGATTCTGGGAGCAGAGATGGAGGAGAATGGGGAATAAGAGAAAATGTTCTAGAGCAGTGGTTCTCAACCTTTCTAATGCTGCTACCATTCAATACAATTCCTCATGTTGTGGTGACCCCGACTCTAAAATTATTTTCATTGCTACTTCATAACTTTAATTTTGCTACTGTTATGAATTGTGGGACCCCTCTGAAAGGGTTGTTCGACCTCCAAAGGGGTTGCGACCCATAGATTGAGAACCACTGTTCTAGGGGGCTATAACTCTTCTGGCTTTTCCTAATCCTGCTTCCCCCTAATTTGGATAGAAACAAATCCCAGCAGAACTCTTCTTTTAGAACCAAAGGACTGCTCTTTTACATGACCCTCCTCTACCTCATCACATTAAATCGAATTCAACATCCCTTCTTGTTTGTTTCATGGGAGGTTCCTTAATGTTGAATTTCAAGATTATGACTAGTGTAAATGATGTGTATGGCATTGTCCAATAGAGCATATGCACAGAAAATGTTAGCGAGGAGCCAAGTTTCCAAGCACACGATTGAGTGAAAAGTGTCAAACAATTGCAGTATGTGCTTCATTTGTTGTTCTTTTGTTGCTGTCGCTCAGGCTCTGACTCATGGTGTGGCCTGATGCAAAACGGAATAAAACATTGCCCGGCCCTGTGCCATCCTGCCGTTGGATTGTATTTTTTGAGCCCATTGTTTGGTCAAGTGTAAGGTCATTGAAAATGAGGGAAACCCTCCATGAGCTGGATTGCCAGAGGAGCTGCAACTATGGGCTCAAATATTGGTTTTTGTGTGTTTCCTACATGCTCGCTCTGGCTCTCTCTCTCTCTGTATGTATATGTATATGTGTGTGTGTATATATATATACACACATATATATATATATTCAGTTATTTATGCCCATCAAGAGCGTGTCATGCGATGATTGAAAGTTAGGGAGGGTGGAGAGAAATGGAACAAGTAATAGAAAATGAGCTTTTTACATATAAATAAGTAGAAGAATTATTAAAATGATTTTTGGTTAGCTATCAAATAGTCTGCCTTCTGGAATTGTGAAGAGCTAATGGATTTGGCTGTGTCTTGAAAAGGAGACTAATTCTTATTTCATTTGAAGTCGCCTCTTCCTAAAAACATCGGTTTACAACCCTCAGGAGGACAGCTTGTATCAGTTATCTAAGTTTAAAAATGGAAAACACCTCTTCGTAGCATCGAACAGGACAGCTTATTTTACTTATCTAATTTTAAAATTTGGTTAAGTGTATCTTGTATTTATTTCCTACATTATATGTTTTCATAGCATGATTATAATGTTTTTAAAGCATTATAACACTGCCTTAAAAATTCATAAGCAAGGTGTTTTATATCTATTTTTTTAAAAATTATTTTCAGAATTGTTTTTGATATGTACAGCTTGGGATTTGATGCCAGCAGTACACTGTTTTGACTTGCCTCTGTATTGAGTGTCCTAAGAACCCTGGTGGCATAGTGGTTACAAGTTGGGCAAGATCAGCAGTTCGAAACCACTAGCCACCGCTTGGGAGGGAAAGATGAAGCTTTCTACTCCAGTAAAAAGTCATCATCTTGGAAACTCGCAGGGGTAGTTCTACCCTGTTCTATGGTTGCTCTGAGTTGCGGTCTACGCAATGGCAGTGAATTTGTTTTTGTGTGTTTGGTTGTTTGTTTTGGATGCCTAGTATTCTTGTTATGTACGTGGACCTATAAAGAGATTCTGATTCGCTTCAGGAGCTGCATGTAGCATGTATGTAAGTTATTTTAATTAGTATTCTATATTTTTAAATTTCAGCATGTTGGAGCAAGATTCCAGGAAACTGAAGCCTGGTGTGAGCCCTGCAAATCAAAGGAGGCATCTTCTAGAATTTTCTGCTAAAGAGGTGCAAGACACATCAGATGGTATCATCCAGAAAAATAGCTTAAGGTTAGATGGTATATATCTGTTTTTTTCTAACTTATTTAATGAAACTCAAGTATAATATTATTTCACATCTAAATTTTTCATGCATCTTTTTGACTAATGGGACAGATAAGTTATCAAGACCAGTTAATACATTTTACTGTTAAGGTCAGTTCTGTGAGTAAATTTGCTGTGAAATCTTTACTAATTTTAGAATTCATGCAGATGTGACTTTCAAGTCACAGATTGAATGCATTAATATACATAAACACTATCTAATATTTGCTGCTTATCCATCTGTAGACATGTGTTAGGATGGATTGATATGTGAGTGAGTAAGTGGCCTAGAGGGTAACCATATCTGCCCTCTGGCTTCCCTGTTGCTTGCTGTAGACATGTCTCCACACTCTATCCCTCTTTACCTATTCCAACACTAACTTCCTCCCATGGCCCTATCTATTCTGGGTGTGTTATTAACTCACAGTTAAGGGGTTTATCAGGAAGCTAACGGTTTACCACAAGTCAGAATCAGTAAACAATAAGGACTCAGTCACTGGTCCACAGCAACCCTTCTCCTCAGCCAGCAGCCACGTCTCTCTCCAGTCCTCAGCCTCTCAGCCATGTGGTCTTTTGACCTCTGCCTTCATGGATCAGGAAGTCTGCCTGCTGCTCTGTCTCAGCCTGAGAGTCTTGACACTACTCTGTTCTATCTTATGGTCTCTTGCCTTGGCCTCTGGTCCCCGTGCCGCAGCCTCTGGTGCTGTTGGTCTTAGCCTCCACCACTTCAGAAGGAGATCTAGAGCATGCTCCAGTGGTGGCTCTTTTCCTGATGGTCCTGGGTTTCTGTATGTGTCTGATATGGTTGTTATACACAGAGGAATGGTTTTTGTGGAGGTTTGGTTTTTGTCTCTCAGCAGACCATACCCCCCAAGGAAACAAAGAGTGGTGACTTAGTTCACACCTTCTACTAATGTGGATACTTAATTCCACCTTAATCCTGTCGATTAGCATAGTAGAGAACGTCTTCCAAAATGGATTATAACCACAGGCATAGAGGCTAAAATTGATAACAATCATATAAGGGGTTATGGCTAGAGGGGCCGTATTAATTGACTGCATCTCAATATGGTTAACCCTATTTGCAATCCTTAGGTAAAATAATTTATTCTTACTGATTGTGAACTTTGTTGAACCTTCCTTCCTTGTTATAATACTGACTTGGTAAATTCCATATTGTTTGTCAATAACAAAAGGCTTACAAGGGGGCTTCCAAAAGCTCATAGAAAAATTTCATGATCTTTTTATTTAATTTCTCCCATGAACTTTTGGAAGCCCCTTCCTATAATTATACAAAAATATAATTTCTGTATTTGGAAACTTGGAGGAGTAAGGTGTGCCTGACCCAAGCCATGGTATTTTTAATCACTTCATATGCGTGTGAAAATCAGAGATTGCATAAGAAAGACTGAAGAACACGTGATGCATTTGAGCTATGGTGATGCCGACGAATATTGAGAAATCTCATGGACTGCCAAAAGAACAAACTGATCTGTCCTGGCGAAAGTAAAACCAGAATGCTCCTTAGAGGCAAGGGTGACAAGACCTTATCTTTCATACTTGGGGCATGTTATCAGGGGAGACCAGTCCCCGGAGAAGGACATTGTGCTTGGCCAAGTCGCCAGGCAGAGAGACAGAGGAAGCCCCTAGAAGAGATGGATCAGCACTATTGCTACAACAATGGGCTCAAATATAACAATTGTGAGGCTGCCGCAGGTCAGGGCAGTGTTTTGTGTACATAGCATCAGTATAAGTAGGCACTGTCTGATGGCACTTGTCAACAACAGCAACAGAAGATTACTGTGGGCATTTTCAAAGCTGTATATGAACTTTTCGATAAACATTTTCTTTGTGATAGTTGGGATTTGTATTACATCTGCATGGAGCTAGGTCCTTGACTAACAAGAGAAAACAAGGTCATAACATGGCCAAACCAAAATCTTAAGGTTTTCTAGGCCACGGCCCACAGGGGAGTCATTCTCCTAATCTAACCCATGCCATTGACTGTTAATTATCTTGGCGGTCAGCCCTCACACTTCAAGTCACCACTGGCTAACACAGTCCTTTAAGTTTATCTCCATCTAGCCTTCCTAGAAAACAATGCTCGTATTTACTTTTTCAGGAAACCTGCAGTATGTTAAGAACTGTGCTAAGTGCGGTGAAAGATCTAAGAGTTGTGTGGTAGTAACTATAAAGCAATGGGGAATGTGATAGCTGCTGGAATGTTGGAAAACATGTAACATTTCTTGTATTTCACATGCCAAAATTATGTCCTAACTTCTGGAATAGTGATTCCAGTGATCACTTAGCAGTCTTCTTGAAATTTGCTGGAGTTTGATAGTTGCTTTAATTTTACTCTATAATTTGTTCGAGCTTTCCCTACATGTTATGTAATTATGAGTTTTCTGCTCCCACCCGAAGTTGTGTTTAAAATTTAACACGCTTTAACTTTATCAGAGTTAAGCATGTACCCCTTCAGTATGTAAAACTTGTTGCTAAGAAATAGAACAAGATTTTTCTTAGGTACTTGACTTCCAGTTCAGGTAACATTTCTTGACAAGAGAATTGTTTATTTGGCATGATCTAAATAGAAGCCTTCAGTTACTAGTCCAAATGAAACTCAGGTAACCTGGTAGCTCCAGGGAATCATAGTTCTCTAATTACACTAGTCTATTCCATAGGTCTCAGTGGATTTCAAGCTATAATTGATCAGCTTTCAAAGTAGCACATGAAGTGCAAGTTATCTCAGTGGTCAGGGCTCGCCCCTCAAGTCACCATTGCCTGTGCATATTTGAGTTACTTTCTTGGTAAAGGTCTTAGTTATCTAGATTACTATAACAGAATGACTATAAGCGAGTTGCTTTAATAACCAAATTTAGTTTCTCACTAGACTTCTGAATTCAGGGTGCTAGCTCTAAGGGAAGGGTTTTTTTTTTGGTTGGTTCAGAGGAAGGGCTTTCTCTCTTTGAGCTTTGGCTCCTGAGCAGTCTTCATGTGATTTAGCATCTCTCTAGCCTCATTATTGCTTCTGCTGGTTTGTTCAATCTCTTTTATGTCTCAAGAAATGGGCTCAAGATAGGTCCTACACTCATCCTGTCTCATTAACATGATAGACAACCTATGCTCCAATGGGATTATATCCACAGGCATCCAACCCCCCTCCTCCCCAAAACTCATTGCCCTTCAGTCAGTTCCAACTCATAGTGACTCTATAGGACAGAGTAGAACTGCCCTGTGGGTTACCAAGACTGTAAACTCTTTACAGGTAGAAAGCTTCATCTTTCTCCCACAGAGCAGCTGGTAGTTTTGAACTGCTGACTTTGTGGTTAATAGCCCAACATATAACCACTACACAACCAGGGCCCAATTTCCACAGGCATAGAGGCTAGAATTTACAATATATCTGGAGCCAGGGGACTTCTAAAAGTTTTATGGAAAATGCAATTGAAAGATAATAGGACTTTTCCACAAAGTTTTCCAAAGCCCTTTGTATTTGGAGGGGGGGACACACAGTTCAATCTATAACAGTAGCAAAAAAATTAAAGCTTGTTGGCATTGTGCCAGTCTCTTTAAAATACTTAAAATGCTTACTGAGCAACTTGAAAGATTTAAATAAAGGTGTCAATTCATTATTTGATGCTCTTGTTTTTCATCATTGTAAAAACGGAACCAAAGACACCAAGAGAAGTTTGGTGAAGCACTTGGAAGCACCAGATATAAATTTGCAGTGAACTGAATTTTAGAAGAGTTTGTACTCAGCCATGGTGCCTGTATTTATTTTGTAACAAAACTTATCTTATTTTACATTTCATCTTTTTGGAGAATTATAAAAACTAGTTCAAATGACAAAGGAGTTGATTGTAGTCCCGTAGTTTACAATAGTAATATTTGCCTTTCATTTAAAAGCCAAATTAATTGTATATATATTTATAAGGAGTGCTGGTGACATAGTGGTTAAGCATTGGGCTGCTAACCCCAAGGTCACCAGTTCAAAATTACCAGCTGCTCCATTTGTATTTTGACTGCATTGTTTGTATTTTTAAGTATGACTGCAGCATTTGTATTTTTAAATACGCAGACATGACTTTTAGAACAATACCTACACAAGAAAGAAGAGACTTTCTACTCCTGTAAAGAGTGAGTCTTGGAAACCACAGGGGCAGTTTTATCCTGTCCTGTAGGGTCGCCATGAGTCATAATCAACTCTATGGCAATGAGTTTAGTTTTTGGTATATGTATTTACAATCTGAGAGGTGTTAGGATATATAAATAAAATGACCATGTCAACCAACATTTTTAAGAATGAAAAGTAGTGCCTCGTAACGTCAGGACATCAAGCATACATTTTGGGTAAACGGAAAAGGGTAGTCGGCCTACGTAAGCCATCAGCCAGAGCCTGCCTTTATCCCAGGAGTTTTTATCAACTGGAGCTCACTCACTGACCTTTACTTTGGCGATTCATTTGCTGAAAGGTTTCTCTTGCTATAGAACAATGGCTTACAGGCACTCTAGAACTCCGAGCACGTCGGGCTCGTGTGGGTCTAATTGTCTCCAGATTGCCTGCTGGCTTAGACTCTCCCTTTCCTTTTTTCTTCAACTCCACCCAGTCTCTTTCCTGGTATTTCTCCTATTAGATTTTTTCTTTTTCTTTTCCAAAGAATATTCTTGGACAGTAGAACAAAGCCAGTGAGCACAAATGTGTAGAAGTCATTGCTAGAGTTTATCACATGGAAAGAAAATCAGCAATATTATAAATTAGTATAGTTTCAAAAGAAGTTTTAGACTCTTCTGATGGACTGCAGTGTTTGTATTTTTAAATATGCAACACGATTTTAAAAACAATAGCTACACGACAAGTCATTCTTGACTTTTTAGCCTGGCAAGCAGCCTCTCCCGCAGAAGGGTGCACTTTAAGAAGGACAAGAGCAATTTCCTTTACTTTCCCCTCAACAATTTTCACTTGATTCCCTTTTGAGAGTCATCATCATCTGTGGACCACCTTCTTTGTTTTCATCCAAACAGTCCTGCTCTAGCCAGAAGAGAGCGTATTGAGAAAGCTGCTGCTGCAAGTTGCCCTGATGCTTTTTCCTGTGTACAGGGCAGACAGAAAAGTCTCCGACTTGTATCTTGAAGTTGGACCTTACCTTTGCCAACATTAGTTTTGTCAAGTGTGCCATTGGCTTCAGTGCAGACTTCTCCCTTCATCTTACTTGACCTTTCCTCTGTGTTTAGCTGCAGGGACCTCCCTCCTTGAAGCAGTCTCTTGAGTTACTTTATTTAAGCCTTTGTCCTTCTTCACTGGCTGATGTGCTGCTGCTTGTCTTTTCTGTAGGCTCGCAAGATTTGGCACTGTGAACCATTTTGTTTTCTCCCTGGCAAGTCGACCTATAATTTAGTGCACATTTCATATCTGTTTCTCCTGTTGACTGTCAAATTTAAGTTTCCAGTTCAGACTTTCCTTTGAGATATGTACTCACAGGTCTTCTTGACAGCTCTATTTTAACATTGCAAGTTTCACAAGTCCACAGAGGAACTCCTGTTAGGGCCCTTTCCTTGTTCTACCACCAACCCAGTTCTCTACCACAGCCTCCTTCATTGCCTAGAAGACACATTTGGTTGGTGGTTAGGAAAGTATACATATGTTAAGCCACAGGAGTAATTGGTTAATAGCCTGTTGATGTCATATTAGCGATTTAGATTCCTTATGTTTCCAAAATTTATGTTCAGCTCTTTGCCTCTTTCACTTTCCTCCTACTGAGTACTTGGTGTCTCTTTACCCCCATACCTTTTAAAATTGCAATTTTGTTGAAAACTATAAATGAAAACAAAACGTAAGGTGTTACATGATAAATACTGCTCCTCCTACCACCACATGGTCTTTCTCTCAAGCTTCACCCTTACAGTGTCAGGTCCTCTGTTCTAGCAGCTCTAACGAACTCTTGGTGTATGCTGGGAGGGCAGGAACCATTGTATTACCATTCTATCCCTAGTTAATGCTATATAATAATTACTTCGTAAGCCATAGCTGTGTAAATGTGAATTACCATGGTATTTCTGTAGAAATTGGAAAATGACTTTGTAGTATATAATCTATAAACCAAAACACACAACTCCCCACCCCCCAAACTTTTCTGCTACTGAGTTGATTCTGATTCATGTCAACCCTATATGATTTCTACGACTAAACCAGTGTGGAGCCAGACGGCTTCATCTTTCTCATGGAGGGGCTTGTGGACTCTTAACCACTGGCCTTTTGGTTAGCAACCTAAAGCTTAACCTGAAGCACCACCAGGGCTCTGTGTGTTCCTTCTTTCTAACACCCTTGCTTCTTTTTAAGAGTCTGTTCTATTTACTACATTTTAATATTTATGGAAAGTTTGAAGTAGTAATGAGGCTCTCATAGCAAACTTTAAATAAGGAATTTAAGACGCAACTGAATTTCGTGCATGTGTATTTCAGATATGACCATTCTGTTTCCAATGACAAAGCCCTGATGGTACTAACTGAAGAGCCACTACTTTATATTCCTCCACCTCCCTGTCAGCCCCTGATTAACACAACGGAATCTCTCAGGTGAGTCTTGGAGGATGTTGTAGAACTAGCTGGATGAGTTCTGGTGTCTAATGTTGAGACTAGAAATGTGTTTGTCCAGACGGATTGAGTGACTGAGAGAAGTCCCATTGGAGGTGGTTGTTGGGTGCCGTCGAGGCGCCGCCAACCCACAGTGACCTGATCTACAACAGAACGAAACGCTGCCTGGGCCTGCGCCAGCCTCACAGTCGTCTTTATGTGTGAGCCTTGCAGGATAACTATACGTATAGTCTTGTTGTTCAGTTTCCTCACCCACTTGATAGAGATGGTAGAGACTATTTCAAGTAATGATATTAGGGTTACATGCTAAAGTATGTCTTAATATTCGAAAGCTGCAGAATGATAAAACATCCCAGGTGTAAGTGTATTTTGTGGCAATGGTAACATTCGTAGCAGAAAGCACTTTTCCCTTAAGTTAGGAAGCCGGTCATTTGAAGCCGTGTGAGTTTAGAGACTCTTCCCCTTTAGCGCACCCTTCTGTATCAACTTGACCCCAGGGTTTTTTCCTGTGATTTTGGGTGCTATCCAAAAGGACCTTGACCCCGAAAGCTACCTCTGATAAGTAGTAATCAACTATGTTTTAATAAAAACAGTTCTGTGTCTTTCCAGCCACTCTGAAAGATAAGCAAAATAAAGGAGGTTAAATTTGAATTAGCCTTTCATTCTTTTCAGACTTGGAAAATTTGAATCTGTAGTGCATTGATGATGATGCTTCCCCTCCCCCAGCTTATTGAAAACAACTTAACATCACATATCTACATTTTTTGCAAATCGGAAAGCAATATTGAGACATCAACCACTTGCAATCTTCTCTGTGACCTACAGAATCTGATTAAATCCTCCTCCAACTCGGGTCAGACTTGTGTTTGATTAACTACATGTTTGATTACTTACACTGTTTTATAGGTTAAATCATGAACTTCGAGGATGGGTTCATAGACATGAAGTGGAAAGGACGAAGTCAAGAAGGATGACAAATAGTCAACAGAAAGCCCGCATTCTTCAGGTGTGTTTCCTCTGTCTCTGCGTAACGCTTGGCATCTTTTTTAGCAGGCTTCCTCAGCGGGGGTTGCTATCTCCAGGCAAGAGTCAGTTTGACCCACTTCCTACTTCCTTCTGCTGTTTTTGGTACAGCTGTGATTGCCACTGGGGCCCCGCTTTCTCTCTTCTCTGCTCGTGTTTAATAGCACGCGTTTAGGGTTTTTAGCACCAATTTATCTTGCTCATACATGTTGCTGTTTTTTTCTGGTTTTTCCTTCAAATTGACTTCCAAACAATGGGTTACTGTACCTGGACATCTGCTTCAAATATTTTTGTTTTGGTTTGTTTTTGCACAAGTGATGTAATAAACAGCACCACTGTTCTCTGTTCTTGCTGCGGTCAGGTGCTATTGACTTAATTTGGACTCAGCGCGGCCCTGTGCGGCAGAGGAAAACTGCCCCACTGAGCTTTCTTGGCTGTAATCTTTATGGAAGCAGATCACCAAGCCTTTCTTCCCTGGAGCCACTGGGTGGCTTTGAACTGCCGTCCTTTCAGTTAGCAGCTGAACACTTAACTGTTGTGTCACCAAGGCTCCTGAACATTACAGAAAGAGGGTTTTGAAACATGGGGATTGCTTGGAAGTAAAGAAGGCACATATCTGTGAAGGTCTTTATGAACTTAGTCATGTACTACCATGGTTTAATACTCTTTAAATATAAAGGTTCAGGTTGAAAATAAAAGGTTGAAAAAGGGTTTATACAAAAAACCCAAGGTCACCAGCCTATGCAACCACGAGGTGTCGAAGGAATCAGGTATAAGGCATCATTAGAACAAAAAAATCTTACCATAGTGAATGATGGGGGGAGTGTGAAGTGGAGACCCAAAGCCCATCAATAGGCCACTGGAGATCCCCTTGCAGAGGGATCTTGGGGAGGAGATGAGCCAGTCAGGGGGCGATGTAACAATGATGAAAAATACAACTTTCCTCTAGTTCCTAAATGTTTCCTTCCCGCTCCCACTACCATGACTCGAATTCGACCTTGCAAGTCTGGCTAGACCAGAGGATGTACACTGGTACAGATAGGAACTGAAAATACAGGGAATCCAGGGCGGATGATCCCTACAGGACCAGTGGTGTGAGTGGCGAAACAGGGAGGGTAGAGGGAGAGTGGGTAGGAAAGAGGGAACTGATTACAAGGAACTATATGTGACCTCCTCCGTGGGGGACGGACAACCGAAAAGTGACTGAAGGGAGACGTCGGACAGGGCAAGATATGACAAAATACCAATTTATAAACTATCAAGGGCTCATGAGGGAGGGGGGAGCGGGGAGGGAGGGGAAAAATGAGGGCCTAATGCCGGGGGTTTAAGTGGAGAGAAAATGTTTTGAGAATGATGTACAAATGCGCTTTACACAATTGATGTGTGTATGGATTATGATAAGAGTTGTATGAGCCCCTAATAAAATGATTTTTTAAAAAAAGAAAAGAGAAAAAGAAAAAAAAACCCAAGGAAACAAGTTATGGCAAATGGGGTTTCCATTCTGAGGTGGTTTGCCACTATTTTAAGACATAGCTTCATTCATTAACTATTTGTTATTATAATTTTTCATCAGCTATTGATTGCTACCACTGAAGCACTTAACTAGAAAGTAGCACATCTAAGCTTTCACCAAATCACCACTGATAGTGCTCAAGAGCCAGGTGCTGTTCTATACCCTGAGAATAGAGTATGTGTACAAACGTGCATACATTCATATAGGTATGTATATGTGTCTGTGTGAAATGCATACATTTATACAGGTATGGGTGCATATAAAGGGGCTCTCAAAGAGTTCCAGGAAAAATGCCATTGTCTTCTAATTCCATTTTCCACAAACATTTTGAAAGCCCCTCAGCTATGTATGTGAATTCATGTATGTGTACACACACATGTAATTCCCACCTCATGGCACGTACTTTCTAATGGGGGACAACAAACAAATTAAATAAATGTATAATATACTCAAAAGTGGAGATAAATTCTCTTTTGGGGGGAAAAAGAAGGCAAAAGGTTCTAAGTTAGAATTGAAGGAGATGAGTGATTATTTTAGATCGGATGATCAGAGATGGTTTCCTCAAAGTTTTGAGTTGAGTAAGATATTGTCAAGATAGTTAATATTAGTGGTGACACCAAATAGCCCCCAAATCTCAATGGCTTAATGGAATGAAAAATTATTTTTGTATACAAAATCTGGTATCGTTCTCCATTATAACTTTTTCCAAGCGATGACTAAGGGATCTAGGTTCATCCCAAGGTTTGGTCTCAACAGCTTGAAATCCCTTGCCTTTCTGATTTAGGGTGTTGAGAAAGAGAGCTGGGGAAATGATGGGAAATGTGTTAGGAATCAGGCTTAGACTTTAGCAGCAGATACAAAGCTGAAGCTTTACAATTGTGTAAAGCTGCTACATTACCTAAACGACTGCAAAGGAGCCTGAGAAAATGTAACCTCACTGTGTGCTCAGGAAGAAAGGAAGGGTTTGAGGCGGTTATAACATTGTTTCTGGCATGGGTGGAACATGAAGGAGTAACTAGGTATAAAGAGCTAGGAGAAAATCTGGGGAAAGAACTTCCAACAAAGGGAACAGCAAATGTCAAGCCACCGGGAGGGAACAGCTCAGTAGACTGGACTACAATGACTTAGAGGAGAGGGGTAGGAAGTGAGGCCAGAGAGGCAGTGGAAGGTAGAGCTTATCAAACCTCAGCGGTTATAATGCAAGCTTTGGATTTCATGCCAGGTATGAGTGAAGGCATTGAAAGGCTTGGGCAGAAAAGTGGCTTAAGTTGACTGCCATTAAAAAAAAATTACTGTAGCTGTTACATAGCACAGACCGTTGGTGGGAGGCAACTGAATATTGGGAGACCAGCTAAGAGGTAATTTTAGTTGTCTAAGTGAGAGAGCATTGGAACCTTATACTAGTGTGGTATTTTTGGAGATCGAGGAAAGTACTTGAATGCCAAATATATTTTGAAAGTGGAGCTGATAGAAATTGCTGATGCAAAATATAAAGCAAGCAATGATAATTCGTTTACTTTAGCAACTGGATGAATGCTGATTCATTTTACTGAGACAAGGACGATTGGGGAAGAAGGAGTTGGAGGCAGGACTCAAGGAGTGATTACCTGTTGTAGTTGTTGTGTAAGATGAGAAATACCCACTGAGTTTGATCATTGGAACTTGTTAGTGATCACAACGAAATGAATTGGCATTTGGTGACTAGAGCCTGACTGAAGTGGATTCACAAAGTAATACTAGATGAGGAGGCAGGGAAATTTCTTGGCATGATCTCCAGAAATGGGAACAGTGAAATGGAGTAGCTATAGGGAACAAGGTTTACTTAAGAATTAGAAATATGTCACCAGGTTTACATGTTTACATACTAATAGAAACACATTACCTATATGGTTATTTGGAGACTCATTGGAAGCAATTGTATGATGTGTTCAAAAGTGCACTAAAAAGAAGCCAATAACAAGGATTTGTAACTGTTAAAGAATTTTTTTTTTGCCTCTAAAATTAAGAGTTGTGGGATCAGTGGTGGGGCTGCCATCCAAAAGGTTGGCAGTTGAAGCCCACTAGCTGTTCTGAAGAAGAAAGATGAGGCTATGTGCTCCGGTAAAGATTTAGAGTCTTGGAAATTCTATAAAGGGTCTCTATGAGTTGGAATTTACTTAATGGTTTTGGATTTTAAAAAATAAGTATCAATGTGAGAGACGCTCTTGACTGTAGATGAGCTCAGTCTCTGAAGTTCTGATATTCTTTGGTGATCTAGTACGTGACTTTCGGGGCCTCTTCAATACCACTTCTTTATCTGTTGTGGTGGGGTGGGGAATATTTATTTGCCAAGGACCATTTGGATATTTATGACATCAGTCACAGGTCATATTGGTCAAACATTTAATTAACTCACCAATAATGTGGAACTGCTTCTCTGTTACGTTAGATGGTATTGATGATTTCCAGGGCCTTATCTGGCCCATGGGGGGTACATTCTCCACCCCTGTACTCTGGCGACTTTATTGGCTAGAGGATGTAAGAAACCACTCCCACTCTCACAGTACCTCAAAGTTACCCTAGAGTTGAGTGACATTGGATTATACCGTCTATTACTTTAAAATGCATATCTACCAGATTCAACACATCAGATGTGGCAGTCTGCTTTTGTACAGATTTACAGCCTTGAAATCTTTGGCTGAAGGTTCTCCTCTGTCCTGTAGGGTTGCTAGAGCTGGAATCTACTTTATGGCAGTGAGTTTTTCATTTTTAAATATCTTTGTAGCTCAGTTTTCCTTAAAGCCTTTCCACCCATTTCTGAAAGTAGTCTAGCTTCTTCCAGGCATCTTTGTTAATTTCATTTGTGTCAAAGTAGCAGAGATTATTTAAAATTAGCTATTTAATCTGTTCATTCTAAACCTTATATTTATCAACTAGCTGTAATTTAACTTTGGCTTTATTTACTGTTTGTGGCTAATCATGCCAATAAGTGTTGTTATTATTATTTTTAATTTAAGCATATGTGTTTCTTGTTCTCTTCACTTTCTTGGTACCTTTTTCATTTTGTGTAACAAGCATTAATTGAACACCTACTACATGGAAAACCTACATGTACTTTCATGAAATAAGACTTGTTAAGAGCCAGAAGCCCAGTATTCACCGTGCGTTGGTCCTGTGTACTAAAGACTAGTTCTTTCCTCTTCCTAAATCCTCTGCACCTGTTTCTCTTTTAGCATCTTTACATTGCATTGCTTTCATATATCTGACTTCCCGGTTACACTGTGAGCATCTTGAGAGCTGAGGGCAAATGTCATTGAATTTTGTATCCCAGGTGCATGTAGTAGGTACTCTATCCACGTTGGGTTGCTGAAGAATGATGGGTTGACAAAGTAATGAACAAAGGAGGCATTTTGTGATTAAACAGTTAATTAAGCCACTGTTTGACCAGGATAATTAATAATAAGGATGCTTCTTTAATGTAATAATAATTAGTTGCTCTTGAACTCTGATACTCTAAATAACTCTTTTGAAGACCAGATTATGCAGCTGCAAGGACTATAAAAAGGCATAGGATAAAAGAGAAGATATGGGAAGACAATGTAACATGTGTTGGACATTATTGACTCCATATTGAACTCCCATTTTTCCCTCAGGAAGATCCCTTTAGTGATGTGTTCACTGTCTAAACAAATATTTCGTGTTCTTGCATGCTATCAAGTCAGTTGTAGCTCATAGAGACCCCTCTCACAGAGTAGAACTGCCTCATTGAGGTTTCTTGGCTGTACTCTTTACAGAAGCAGATCACTAGGTCTTTTTCTTGCTGAGCCCTTGGGTGGGTTTGAACCACCAAGCTTTCTGTTAGCAGATGAGTGCTTAACTGTTCACAAGGACTCCTTATAAGTTTAGATATGCTCTTTATGTTTAACCGAGTAAACAATAGGATCTAATTTTATCATGAACCTTAATACTTAAGTACTTTTCATTCAGAACACAATATTTTAGGCAAACAAGTGGTCATTTATATATATCTAGTAATACAGGTATAGCTTGGTCATAAAGCTTTCTGTTCTTGGATTAAGGTTTTGGGCTGTTTAAAAAAAATTGTAAGAAGTACCTTTAATGTCTCAGTCTTCATAAGACAGCTCTCATTCATGATAAAAAAAAGTTGACTATCTTAATGAGATTTTATTTAAAAACCATGCTGAGTCAATATAAAGAAATGTTCATTTCTGTATATTTCATAAAAAATGTCCCCCCTCCTTCTAGGGTGCTTTGGAACAAGGCTCAAATTCTCAGCTGATGGCTGTTCAGTACACAGAGACCACGAGCATCGGGTAAGAAAGTATGGAAACTTTTGGCCAGGGAATTGAAAATAGCTGGTATTTTCGTAAATTTGAAATTCATACTTTGTCTTTGACATCTTAAGTTTATTGTCCTCTGTAACTGTAGATTAGTCCATATAACATAACTACTTTTGAGAAAAGCCAAACAATTTCAAAAGGTTTATTCCTCCGGAATCTCTTGGGTACAAATTTAGTCAAAATGCTGCTCAGTTAAACTTTTCTGAAAATCTTAAATACACATAGCTCTCCTGTTCTTGATTTGCATCTATTTATTTCAGGAGCCCAGGGGAAGGGAATGTTATTTTTCGAGCGTCTGCTCTGTGCCAGGTGTCTTGCTGAGTGTTTTCCATGCACTTTATCTTTAAACCCATAGAAAAATGTGAAGATAGATACCCTTACCTTTACATATAGGGAAACGGGGCAAGTAAAACAGAATTTGTGCGTGTCAGTTTCAGAATCATAGAGCTGGTAAATGGCAGAATCAGAATTCAGATTCTGTTGGACTTAAAATGCATTGTTCATTATTTAATACTACTAAATATTTTGACAGATGCCTAAGAGGATACTGTAGCTAGAGAGATTTAAATAATGTGCTGACCAAGACCAAAAAAACAAAAAAACCCCAAAAACCAAATCAAACCTACTGCCATCGAGTCAATTCTGATTCATAGTGACCCTCTAGGACAGACTAGAACTGCCTCTGTGAGTTCTCGAGACTGTAACACTCTATGGGACAGCTGGTGGTTTCAAAGTCCTAATCTTGGTATTAGTAGCCCTATCACTACCACCAGGGCTCTTACTGTTGAAGTCATACCCAACTAAAGGAAACAGTATCATGTGGTTAAGATCTTTAGAGGTGGGCAGAGTTCAAATTCTGTGGTATCCTCATCTATAAAGTTCTGAGTGCACAGTTGATGTAATCATTAAACTACCATATATACTCGAGTCTAAGCCGACCTGAATATCAGCCGTGGCACTTAATTTTACCACAAAAACTGCATTAAAAATGTGCTGAAAAACAGCTTATACACGAGAATTAGCAGTAGATAATACATTAATTGAACAACTATTTCCTGAGAACCTATTTGTGCTAGATAGGATTCCAGGCACCTTGGAGTGGAGGCACATAGGAAGGGGCTTTAAAAAAAATTAAAGATAAAAATGGAAGTGAAAAATAAGGGAATTTCCCAAACGTTGTGACATCCCCTCCTATGATGTGTAAATTATAAGTTATTATGTAAATTAAAGAGATACAAAAAGATGTTAATTGAAAGCTACTTTATTTATTAGTCTTTAAACTGAGAATTCAGATTAAGTGACAGTGAACAGTGTATCAGATCATGAATGCCCAAAATGCTAAGATATTTAATAATACTGTGGAAATGGATCACTGAGGGATAGGTGGTGGGCTACTAACTGCAAGGTCAGTGGTTCAAACTTACCAGCCATTCCTCAGGAGAAAAATTTGGCTGTCTGCACCCACGAAAATTTACAGACTTGGAAACCCTACACCTGAATCGCCTCATGGTGGTAGCTTTTCCAGAAGTCCTTGGAATATTTCCTTCCCTTTTAAAATTAATTTTCCACAAACATTTCAAAGCCCCATTTAATAACTCATTGCTGTTGAGTGGATTCCAACTCACAGCTACCCCGTAGGACCGGAGAACTGTCCCTATGAGTTTCCGAGACTGCTGCTGTTCACAGGAGTAGAAAGCCTCATTTTTCTCCCATGGAATAGCTGGTGGTTTTGAACCTTGACGTTAGCAGCCCAATGCATAACCCATTACACTTCCAGTGCTCCTAGTTCCTTCACTAGTAACTAATAATTCTCTATTAGCCAGACTGTTGTTCAAATATTTTATGTATATTTAAAGACTATATCTGTATATTTGATGAATCATTGTGATAACATTTCTTAGCTAGTTGGTGTTTTTAGTGAATTATGTTCAAAGTATTATATGCAGAACTAGCCTAGTGAGCAAATGGATGCACATCTGACTCATCATTTTCTGTTTTTTAAATCATTTTATTGGGGGCTCGTATATTACAATCCATCCATACATCCATTGTGTCAAGCACATCTGTACATATGTTGCCATCACCACTTTCAAAACATTTTCTTTCTATTTGAGCCCTTGATATC